GATGAGGCCATTTTTTTAAATAAGATATTCTGCCTATTACTTGGCATCTTGTAAATACTCCCTCTCATCAGATAAGCTTTCCTACCATGTCGGAGAAGATAGAAACCATGAAGCATGTATTCCCTCAACTTCCTCTCCTCACTTCATCTTATCTATATCCAATTCATCAACATATACACTCATTAAAGTGCTCTTCCTTCTGTTTCAGGTTAATTCATCTGCTTAAGCTAGTGATTACACCCATCTGTCTGAATATCCTTTGAGATCTGGTTGTGTTTCCGAATATTTTTCTTTGTTTTCTTTATTTTTATCCTTTTCTCCTCTCCTTCCTTTCAACATCCATCTCTTTTTAGCTACTGCCTTTTTCAAGCTTTATAAAAAGTGTATTTCGCATAAGTAGCCACAATTCCTTACTTCCTTCACATCTCATTCTAAGGCTTGAGGTTGGCTAATGCTTTTGATTCTTTATTACACAGAGAAAGGATACATTGTCTTATCAAGAAAGACAAATAGGCCTTTAATCTTTTAAAAACAAGCTCAATCTCAATCATAATAACAGAAATTTCAAATAAAACTATATTGAGATATAATTTTCTACAGAGCAGCAAAATCTGAAAACTTTGGTAACATAATCTGTTGGAAAAGATATGGCACATTCTTATTAAGTATTGGTGAAAGTTCAAAAAGTTACAACTTACATGTAAAATAGTTTGGCAATAACTACTAAAATTATTTTATTTCTTAGCTTTTAAATAAATAGTATTTATGAGAATTCATTCCACAGATATATTTTTAAATGTACATAATTACATTAAAAAACAGCACAAAATTAAAAACAACCATGATACTTTTAATAAGAGACTGATAAAATTAAGCATGATATATCCACATAGTGGAATACCGTACAGCTGTAAAAGATAAGAGAATGAAACAGTTTTTTATTTTTGTTATGGAAATATCTCCAAGATATTACTAAACGGAAAAAAAAAAAGCAAAGTAGGTATGTATAGTATGTTACCTTTACTATAATTAAGGAGGATATGTACATACACATACATGTGTGTATAGAAAGTGTAAAGGGTTTAAAAAGTAACTATAAAAAGTGTTTGTCTATTTAGTTAAGGTGGGGGTGAGTGAGGTATACAAAAATGGGAATGTGAGGAAGATTTTCTCTAAAAATTTTATGTTGAGGTTTATTTTTATTTTGAACCATCTTGCTGTATCGCTTATTTTCAAACTAAAAACAAATATTTTCTCTAAAATGGTGCTGATTTTTCTGATAGGATATGATTAAGTGATACAACACCAGCAAAATTCTCTAGTTTATTTCCTGGCATATAACAGGAATACAAAAATGTTAAGTGAATTTCTGGACTCTAATAGATTCCTTGTATGTTTTTATTTTATTTGTGCCTTAATTATGAACATAATAATCATACTAGATTGTAAGCTTTTAGAATACAACTATTGGGGAGGTTCAGACATGGAGTAGCTGGTGAAAAATATTTTTTAATTCAGTTTAATTGAAGCCCTTGTTTCATTCAAATTTACCCTAAACTGATTATAGATTTGGACGATTTAAGTAAGTAATGCTTTTAAATGTGACTATATGTGGCTGTAGTAGAGTTCTGTGGCTTTTCCCTGTAAGAAACCTAGTCATCTTTCTTCTGAGGAAAGCATTTTACCATCTTGTATGTGGAGACCGCTCTTTTCAGCTAAGAATTCATGTGTTGCAGGTGCAGGCAGCTCCTCAGTGAGAGAGTGGGCCTGTGACCTAGGCCTGGTCACTCAGGGTGTCTGTGCTTCAGGGTCAATGATCAACTCAGCTATGGTCACATGACCCTGTTCAGTCCAATCAGATTTCAATCAATTGGTGATGACAGTGGAAAGGCATTCTTTTCTAACAGTTTGTTGAAAGGGTCAGATGTAAACCAAAAGCTTTCTTGTCAACTCAGCGTGAACCTCTGCCAGAAACCGCTTATAGAACAGTGAAAAAAGACTTAAAGTACAAAGAAAATAAGACCTAATCCTGATAACTATGTGTGAGCTCCTGGATTCACCCATGACTCCTTTGCTTTCATTAGATTTTTTAGTTATGCAAATCATTGTTTATCTCTATTGCTTAGGCTAATTTTAACTCACTTTTTATTATTTGCAAACAAAAGAATTTATCTACTCAAAATTGAAGTTTAGAATACTTATAAGTACATTTTAAAGTCTAGCTATATAACATTTATATAACATTGCTATATAACATTGTTTTGCATTTGCAATGCAAAACAATATGCTTCTGGTACCCAAAATGTTAAATTTAAGACAGTAAATGATTTTTTAAAATACATATATAAAGCTATTGATAATGTTAAATATTTTCTAAGTGTATGAGAATACCAAGATTATCTGAAGATATAATGCAATTAATTTTCATCTACTACAAGAAAGATGTCTGTTTCCTCAGAAATATCTTAGAAAAACGGACACATCTCTTTGATAGACCCATCATTCAAGACACTCTCAGAAATTCTGTCTTTAAATACCACAGGCAGAAACAATGGATAACAAAATGCTCTTTCCACCCCCAAATACTTCTTCCTAACTCTTTGCCATAGCATCAATCTCCTCACTCAAGACTGAAGTCTTCAACATTTAGCTGTTCCTTTGGATCCCGTCTGCTAATACACCTTATTAAAATTCTACTCAGAGGAGGAGGGGAGATCTGGCTAAGACGTTGAAAGAAACAAAGCTCTGTGGCCTTCTCCTGTGAGCATGAATTATTTTTATCAGATGCTCTACGTGCTGAGAATAGGATACATTTTTAAGAACAATGGGAGTGAGATGGAAGGAGCAAAATGGGTACCAAGGCTGGGGAACTCTAAATTAGGGACATAATACGTCACTTCAGAACAGAACAGAACACTAAAAAAGAAGAGGAGGATTATTAATGAAAAATTTCTCTTTTCTGAATATTGCTGAATGTTGGCCCTAAGTTGAAAAGCATGATATTCTTTTAATAAATCAGTTTGAAATGACTTTCAAAATGAGATTCTCTGCATTGTGTTCATTTCATCAAAATTTGTTTCTTATTTATTCACATAAAATGTACAAAGGTATAGTAACCTAAAGTAGCTTATTTGTAATTGCTTCTTTTAAGATTTGGTCTGTATATTCAAGAGATAATACATTACTTGCTTTTATAAATAATTTTTAGAATATCCTGGCTTACATGTCTATCAATTCTACTTGTTACTCTTTATAAATCCGTGTTAACGTATGTTTAATTAATTCTTAATTTTATACATCCTCCATATAATGTCTATTTTAATTTAACATTTTCTGCAAGAAACAATCATACTAAAGATAATTTGGCTTTCAAACATATTAAATGATTTAAAAAATTATTCTAGACTTTTTTTTAGTGCCAAATACTTATATGGGTATTTATTCTTTCTAATGTGTAAGTACTACATAGGTTTATTTATGTAATGTTCTTTTATAATAAAATGAAATAAAGTAACAACATATCAGCCAAAACTATCTGAATTATATATCTTCTATAGAGGCAGAGGTTCAGAACCACAATATTGAAGACTGATTTAAATAATGTTTTCCATTGTGAGAAAATGCAACAAATTAAAAAGCTAATCAGTATATCAAAACAAATGCATATTACCAGTGTCTTCTTACACTATACCAATAAAAAAAAGTGTATTGAACACCAAGTCCTAATCTCTGTTTTTTATGATCATTTTAAGTCAACAAGTATCTTGCTTCAGTATTGGCAATTGAAGAGGTCTTAAAAAGGAGTGCACTAGTATGCCTAATAATTTCCTGCTAAATGACCACATCAAAAAATATTTATGTGTCGTCCAATAAAAGACAATAAAAGAAAAGAAAATTGTTGCCACTTATCAACGCTGTAGCCATTTTTTAATAACACAAAAAAATAGGTGGTGTGGGGGCCATCACTTCTCCCATTCAACAACACAATAAAAATAATATTAGGGAAGAGTGGATCATATCTGAAGCTTTTATTAAAATTCTTTCAAAAATCTGCAGTCAGATTTATTTTAGGTATTTGTCTCCAAGATTAGCAATACTTTTATATTTTCCGTACATACGTTACAGCACACAAAGACACTCTATAAAAGCAAGAAATCACTATGAAAGAAAAGTTCTTGTCAGTTTATGATTAACAGAATCTTTTCATTTCTAGGGTTATTATTTTGGAAAATCTCAAAGAAAGAAGGTTGTATAATTACATAAATAACAAAAGTATATCTCTAATTTGCCTCTTTTCCAAGAAGTAACCTTTGGTGAAGTCAGCTGTGACTTCTCTTTTAAATACAGAGTTTTGCTTATAAAATAAAAACTTTCTCTCATTTCACCCTATACCTTAAATAAAATTTAGGAAAAACACATTCAACTGTCATGATAGAAAGCTTTCTTTTGCATTTTAAACTTTTCTGCTTTTTGATAGCTATTTAATAAACTACATATTTATTAAACTATACCTTTTTAAAGATTTCTAATGCCAACTTTAATACAACACTTTACAATGGATATCCATATTGCAATTCAGATGTTATTTCTTATTGTTACACAATGCCTTATTTTCTTTCTTTCTCTGGATCTTGAATAGTACATATTTTTATAAAGCGATGAGTTAAAGAAACAAAATCACAAATTTTTCTAGAAGACATTTTTAAAAACACTTTCAAACTAAAACTATATCTTATTATGTCTTTACTATTTTAGTATAAAATCTTAACAAATGATCTTAGTATAATATCTCAGTCAAGGACATTAGAATTTGATGGCTGCAAATATGAAAAGAATATTATTTCCTACACCAAAGGAAATAAACTGATGTTTCAATCACAGGTGAAAACATCACATTTTCGTAGAGATGTTTATATGTACAAGCAAAAGCATAGGATACTCTGTCAAATGTTTTCAAGTCTATAAACTTCATGTTCAATATAAAGTGAAAACTCACTTACCTTTTCTCAGTGATGACTTGTTATTGAAACTGCCGTCAACTTCTGTTAATGACTCTTTCAACAAAAACGGAAAACAGTAAAGTCACATGTCGTAAGAGTAGGCCTGTGTTGGATGCTGCTTAATTTCAGTACTGAAGAAAAAAAAGGAGGAGGTGGAGTGAGTACAAAACTTTTAAATAAAACCACTTCCTGCGTAGATACGGTTAACCACACACATCACAGCATTACTCGATTTGAAGAAATTGCCTTGTATAGTCAACAATATCACTATTTTTCAATGTGATTTTTAATTCTCAAGCACGACACGTTTATATAGGTTTTCATCAATTCTGATTTAATGGGGCAAATGCGTGGTTAAATATTTAGTAGGGGGAGGAGCAGGCTGCTGAGGACTAAGGACACTTCCTCTTTCTCTGCCTTCTAGCAAAGGCTTAAAACCTAAGCCTCTACTATCCTCAGTGAGCTTGGGCGTTGTTCACATGCCATCAGGAAGCTCTGCCTATTGACTTGGAAAGCCAAGAAGCCACCTCCAACTCACAGACATGGTGCTTCTGTCTCATTCATGGATGGATCCACAAAGAGGTGCTCTAGTTAATGAGCTCATGGGGTCTAGGACAGGTTGCATTAGAACTTCAGACAACACAGCCCAGGGCCACACTGCCACCTGGAGGAAAGGAGGATGCTCGTCTAGCACATGCTGTGACGTTTGCTCTGACTGTGACTCCCACATTGGCGTATTCTCTCTGGCAGTTTCCTAAGCAGTTCTGAAATCTGCTGAAGAGCTTTGAATCTAGCTGAGTGAATCTTTGTGTGGCCTGACTTAAGAAGAAAAATAAAGGATCCAAAGGGTATCATTTTTGGCTTGTTGCTGTATATCCATCTATGTCAACCTTTAACCAATCTAAGACAGATTTTTTGGGGGGGAGTCTCAACAATTCTAAGATGTGCAAATTTATTGAACCATGGAGTTAAAGAAATAAACTCCTGGATGTCCAGGTTTGGCAGGTTTTGTGAGATTTGCAGGATGTCATGAAAGGAAAACTTCTCTTCAAAATACATGAGAAAGTTAAATCATAATCTCTTGTCATACAAACCAATTAGACTAAAATTTGTGTAATAGTTCTCAGGGATGCGGAATATTAGGCACACATAAACACAATCTTTAAAAATATATTTGGTCTTATAAGACCCAAGTTAAGGATGACATGTCCCTGCAAATTAATCTAATCTCTCTAGACAGCACTATGGACCCTAGAACTTAGAGTCAATCATCTTTCTTGGGTGTATCTTTTTAAGTGGTTAGAGCTCTGAAGGTTTGTACTCAATGTTTCTCTAACACAGAGAAATAATGAAAAGAACAAGATATTGAAAGTAAGGAAATCAGAATACAGGCCTCAATTCTGACATTGCTATTTATTTAACCTTGGTCAAGTCACTTAAGTTCTCTAAGATTCAAGTTATTCATCCACACACTGGAGCATACAAATAAAAAAATATCTCCCAGAATGATGTTATGGGTTCCCAAACCTGGGAGCTTCCCCGGTAAGATCTGAAACTGGGCCCCTGTGCACGGAGGGCAAGGAGCCACAGGAGGAAGAGACAGGCCACTCCAGATTTGTAGGTGGCAATTTTAATAAACAAAATAACTTACGTACAAGACTTGTCTTAGGCAAGGTCAGTAGATCTTCATACCTGCCAGATAGAATCTTAAAAGTTTATGTAGAGGCCTTACCTGGGCTCGGTCACATATTCTGCCCAGATGGTCTAACAACATATTGCTCTCTCAAGGCCGCTTCCTTTAAATGGCTCCCACTGTGGCTATGTTGGGACGAATATACATTCCAAGGACAGCAGAGGGGGGTGGAGTGAGGAGCCTCTGATTGCTCTGGTCTAGCTCTCTAGTCAACTGGTGGTTATGACCTCTTGATGACCTCCTCCAATATTTTATCTCTAATGACCAGCAATTATAATTTATATGCCCCTCTCTTTTGTAATGTGCCCTGCGGGGTCAGTAAGGGGTTTTTATTAGTATGGAGGTGGCTCATTTGGTGCCTATCTGGCTACACTGAAGGCAGATACAGCAGCAAAAAATAAAGGCATATGCAAGACAAAATATAGTTTAAAATAATAATTTTTAAAATAAGTAACAGTTTTTTTACCAAGAGCCCAATGATTCAAACCTTTGATATATAAAGTTCCCTTGGCTGAAGGTTGGATCACTCAAGGCATTCACTTGTGTTATTACATGGTTTAATAAAGACAGTACATTGGCAGACTCATTAAATATGAATGTATAACATTTTGTTTGGACAAAGGCCCAGGTGCCTCCTTGTGAGTCAGTCATAATGTCCAAAGCCATCTTATTTTGGAGGACAGCTCTTCTCGCAAGAGACGTTTCAGTGTTCAGGAAAGAAAGACAGGCTTTGCTGGCTATCATTTAAGGCTTGTTAGGTGAATTTAGTAAGGGCTTCTATGTGTGCTATAACATCCCCTGGGCCAATAGCAAGGACAAAGACGGTGGCCAAATGATCTCATCAGTAGGGAAAAAAAAAAAAAAAAAAGCCCATCTGGTCTGAAAGAGAGAGTGGTTGGCAATTTTTGTTTCCTTGGGGCAGATTCTCCCTGTATCAAGGAAAATCCCAGGGTGGAGTTACCCAACCATCCTGGTGGAAGCCATAGTCAAAGATTTGTGCCACATAACCATTATGTCTCTTTTGGGGCTACCCAATAAATACATAGGTATCATAGCCAGTTAGTACCAAACGAGTTATTATCTTTTAATGTGACAAATGACTACAAAGTTCCAGTGATATCCAGCTCATATTCCTGGCATAATTGGGTTAGTTTTGTTTAGAGTGATTTTTCTGATCCCAGCATTGGAGTGCTTAGGGGCTCTAATGTCCATTACCCAGGGTTAACCACATGAACTTGTCCCAAATCAGAGCATAGTCACTCATGGCTCTGATCGTAGTATTTTTGGACACTTGCAATCAGTAGTTTGATAAGCTCCTTGTTCGACAGAAAAAGAAATCCCATGCCCAGTGTTACTGACAATGCATATCCAGGCCAGGTTTCTGTATCAGAATTAGAAACATCAGATGAATGGAGATTAGTGGTCTAGCTTGTTCTTCCTTATTATACCTTTTTAGGGCCTTTTAATTTCCTTCCTAGAGTAATGATAGCCACCACAACAATCTTAATGAGATAGAGAAGGGCAAATATCCATATATCCAACAGTTGGATAATTCCTTCATTGGGCATATGAGTGGGTCCACTTCAGAAAGGTATTTTCATCATGTACCTATCCTGTGACAGGACACCATAGAACCAGCAGAAGTCTAAATCTAGTCTAAGGTCAAAAGATATTTCATGTGAACTTGCATGGGAAAGTCATCCCCTTCTATATGAATTTTACTTTTGGTCCGATCCTTAGATGTTAATGTGGCTGCAGCTTTAGGAATTTGACCTACTTGTGCATACCATACATGTGGGTGGAGAGAGTCATCTCTAGCAGGCACGAGGAAGTGGACTTGGGCAGGATATGCTATGACTACTTTGTAACTACCAATTTATATTTTTTAATCCCTTCTCCTTTTACATGCCCCCGAACCCCTCCGATCTGACAACCATCAAAATGTTCTTCATATCTATGAGTTTAGGTTTTTGTTCATTTTGTGTTTTAGATTACACATATAAATGAACATATGGTATTTATCTTTCTCTGTTTGACTTATTTCACTTAGTATAATATACTTTAGCTCCATCCATATTGTTCTAGATAGCAAGATTTCATTCTTTTTATGACTGAGTAATATTCCATTGTATATATGTACCACCTCTTCTTTATCCACTGATCCAATGATGAACAGCCGGGTTGCTTCTACATCTTGGCAATTGTAAATAATACTAAAATGAACATATGGATGCACATGTCCCTTCAAAGTAGTGTTTTGGGGTTCTTCAGATAAATATTCAGAAGTGGGATTATTTGTCTCTTGTTATGGCCTTTGTCTTAAAGTTTATTTTGTCTGATATAAGTATTGCTGCCCCAGCTTTTTTGTGTTTTGTTTTCATTTTCATAAAATATATTTTTCAATCGCTTTACTTTCAGTCCGTGTGTGTCTTTTTATCTGAAGTGATTCTCTTATAGGCAGTGTATATAAGGGTCTTGTTTTCTTATCCATTCAGTCATCCTATCTTAATTGAAGCATTTAATCAATTTATATTTAAAGTAATTTTTGATAGATATGTAGCAATTGCCACTTTATTATTTACATTTTTGATATTTATTTTTTTCTCTTTCTTCTTAAAGAAGTCCCTGTAACATTTCTTGTAATATTGGTTTGGCGTTGATGAACTCCTTTAGCTTTTTCTTGTCTGGGAAGTTCTTTATCTGTCCTTTGATTCTAAATGATAGCTTTGCTCAGTAGGGTAATCTTGGTAGAAGATATTTGCTTTTCATCACTTTGAATATTTCATGCCAATCACTTCTGATGTGTAAAGAGTCTGTTGAGAAATCAGCTATTAGTCTTATGGGAGCTCCTTTGTAGGTAGCTACTTTTCTCTTGCTGCTTTTAAGATTCTCTCTTGTCTTTAACCCTTAGAATTTTAACTATGATATGTCTTGGTGTGGGCCTTTTTGGGCTCATCATGTTTGAGATTCTCTGTTTCCTAGGCTTGTATGTTTATTTCCCTTGTCAGGTTAGGGACATTTTCCATCATTATTTCTTCAAATAAGCTTTCAGATTCCTTCTTTCTTTCTTTCTTTCTTTCTTTCTTTCTTTCTTTCTTTCTTTCTTTCTTTCTTTCTTTCTTTCTTTCTTGCACCCATACAATGAGAATATAGGTATGCTTAATGTTGTCTCAGAAGCCCCTTAAACTACCCTCACTTTTTGAAAAAAAAAATTTTTTTACTGTTCTGGATAAATGTTTTCTGCTGCACTATCTTCCAAATCATTGATTTGATCTTCTCTTGCTATTCCTTCTAATATATTCTTCATTTCAATCACTGAATTCTTTCCTTTTGACTTCTTTTTTATGTTTCTATCTTCATTTTTATGTTTCTTATCTCTTTGTTGAAGTTCTCACTGAAATCATTGAGCACCCTTAT